ATAAGAGGAAGGGGTGGGGGTTTTTATGGATTCACCAACAAAATCCAGAGATTTCCCCCTGGTTGGAAACAGAGTCCAAGAACACCTTGATTTTCCAATGATATTAAACTTAATAACTAACTCTAATCATACTCAAGTAAAGAATAATGATATTGAAAAGTCTGTTTTTATGGAACCAAAAACCTAAATCAACCGTGGGGAAGCTCTCAAAGTATTTCCACCTGTAGAGAGGTTTTCCTTTAAGAGAGTGATGTATTATGTTAGACACAACTATAACACGTTTGAGGTCTGATCGCAGAGCTAGCATTCTACTTTAAGTCTTCTCTTAATTTTTTTTTATTTTTTTACATTTTTTTAAAGTAGGCTCCACACCCAATGTGGGACTGAACTCATGACTCCGAGATCAAGAGTCACATGCCCCACAGACCCTTAAAATGTTAAAAAATTATCCTCCCAATTTAGGAACATCTGTATCTAGATACATATATATATATATATATACAGTAGAAGAAGGAAATTATGTTTTAAAAACTTGATAATTTAACTCATGGTTTTAGATTTGTAAATCATCGATAAGATTTCTCTAGTAACATTTCAGTATATGCCACAATGAGTTAATTTGCATTCACACTTTCATGTAATTTTTGAAATGTTTTTGTTGTTTATTCTTCATTCAATTTTAATTTTCTTGTCCTCATAAGTCATTTATTTAGGAGTTAACTCTGCCACTTCCCCCTGACACACATTATGGAGGATTTCTTTCAAATGTGGATCTTCAAAAGGAAATATAGTGTCATTTTTACAGAGCTGCATATGTAATGATGGTTATACTGGGGAAGGACTGGGAGTAGGACTATTGGATGGATATTATTATGTCTGCTTGGAGATAAGGAGTTGCCCTCAGCAGTGAATATTCAGCAGTGAGAATTGTGAGTCTGGTGTTTGGAGGATCGTTCCCAGGTTACATTCGGTGAGGACTTTTTTTTGCTTTTTCTCGTTTTTTCCTCCTCCCCACCCACCCTCTAGTGGATGTCAAATTAGGAAATCAGATATCTATAGGCAAACGTGATTCTTAGAGATTGCCCAGGAGTTAAGAGAGCACTTTGTATTTTTGGAAATAATGAACTTCATTTCTTACTTTGTAACTTTGTTGAAAACTTTGACCAGAAATCCAAAACCTTTTTAATGTGATTATGGTTTTGCAGCTTGTATTAATATGACTTGTCTTAGACAACTGTAAATTTAACAGATGATTAAAAGGATATTGTACATTTAGGGTCAATTGAGTGTAACTGGAGAGTATGAAAAACAAAGTCCTGCTTCTTGAACCATGCCACTTGCCCTTCCTGTGCCTCAGTTTCTTCAATTGAAAAATAGTGATAATTATAGTAACTGATCCCATAGAGGTGCTGTAAAAGTTGACTACATCAAAACCCTAGAGCACATAGAGAGATGACTGGCACATGGTAAGCACTGCATGGGTACTGGCTAATTTGTTATTAGCAACATGCCTCAATTATACTTGTTTAAAAGTTGATAAAATTATTTATTGGTGTGGCTGCTGTATCAAATTACCACTAACTTTAAATGACACAAATTTATTATCTTTCAATTCTGGAGGTCACAAGTCAGAAAATGGTCATTATAAGCTAAAATCAAGGACGGTTGTACTCATTTCTGAATGCCTTGGAGGAGAAACTTTTTTTTTTTTTACCATTTTTTAGATTCAAGAGACCACTCAATTCCTTGCATCATGGTCCTCTTCATCTTCAAAGCCAGTGTTTGAATCATTTGGACCTCTGTTCATAATACCACATCTCCTCTGATCTCTTCCTCCCTCTTATAAGGACGCTTGTATTTACATTGAGCACAACAGGACATTCCAGAATAATATATCTCTCTCTCTAAGTAGCCTCCACGCCCAGTGTGAAGCCCAATACAGGGGTTGAATTCACCACCCTGAGATCAAGACCTGAGCTGATATCAAGAGTTGGATGCTTAACCTACTGAGCCAGCCAGGCACCTCCAGAATAATCTCCTCTTAATCACATCTGCAAAATCTGTTTTGCCAAATAAGGGAACATATTCATAGTCTTGGAATTAGGACATAGGGATCCTTGAGTGAGGTGAGGACATTATTCTGCCTAGTACAATTGGTTTTATTTATCACTAATTTAAATATATCATAGCTTTGTTAAGTTTAATAAAATACAAAATTTATAGAAACATGTTTTAAGACACATTTTTTTCCTGATAATAGAAGACAGATGTAAATTACTGATAAGAAAAAACATTCACAATGATTTTCTGTCCTTTTGCCTGTGTGATCTAGGGTAAGTTCAAATTATGTTATTAACACCCACAATACAATCTCCCGATGGATAATAACATCTGCAGATACAGTTATCTTTTACACAATAATTGAGACACAATGAACGAAGTGCCAATACAACATGGGCAGATTCAGAAAGGAGAGAAAGTGGTGAGTCCCTTGTGGGATGAAAATTTATGCTGACATCTGACTGTGTCCAAAATAGTATATTGATTTTAAATCAATGACAGTGATTATCTCAAATTTGTATATGTGAGACCTCAATGATTAAGATTAGTATTGCTGTTTTATCCTGGAAACTTATGAAATATTTTTGTTTCCTAGACCTAAGTATTAGAAAATGTGGGTAAATCCAATCTTATTGGAATTTCATTTTGGTTGGAAGATAAACACAAGGGCCTGGCATTTAATTTTTTTCAATTTTCCTTTAGCATATTTTATAGATCATATTCATGTGGATTTTAAAGACATGCTACAAGAAATGAATCACTTAAAGAGCAAAAAGAAAAAGCAATTTGCATTTTAGTAAATAATATATGTTTAATAATAATTTATTTAAATATTCAATAAATATTTACCATGTTCCAGGCATTCTTTTATATTCTGGAAGCACATAGTAAACAAAATAGGCAAATTGCCTTACTCATATTGAGACTCTGTCAGTGACAGGAGACTAACACAAAATGAAATAAATATATATGTTAAGTGGTGTGAAGGAATATAAGAACAATAGCCACCAAGACCTATAAGAATAGGCCCCTCTGAGAAGGTGGGCTTGAAGCAAAGCCCTGAATGATGTGAGGGTGTCAGTCACAGATGTGGGTGGGAAACCCAGGCCTGGGTCACAGCAGAGACAAAAGCTGTAGACAGGGGGCACACCCAGAGTGGGGACAAAGGATTAGAGGGGAAGCCATGTGGGATTTACAGCACCAGGGCAAATGCACTGGAGGAAGCAGAAAATGATTTCAAAGGATTAAAGTGTTACAATATGGTAGGTCTTGAAGTGAAATATGAAGTTTCATAGTAGAGCTTTGAGCAGGAATTGACCTGCTCTGATACAGATTTTTTTTAATGATTTTATTTATTTATTTGACAGAGAGAGAGCACACACAAGCAGGGGAATTGGCAGAGGGAAACGGAGAAGCAGGTTCCGTGCTGGGCAGGGAGCCTGATGCAGGGCTTACTCCCAGGACCCTGGGATCATGACCTCTGAGCCGAAGGCAGATGGTTAACCAACTGAGCCACCCAGGTGCTCCTCTGATGTAGATTTTTAAGATCACTATACTCTGCTGAGGTTAGACTAAAAATAGACAAAAAAGAAAGAGCAGGGAGATAGCAGAAAAGCTACCAGAATAACCTGGATTAAATATGGCTGGAATATTTCATTTATGAAAGCACAAGTAGGCAGAGAGGCAAGCAGAGGGAGAAGGAGAAGCAGGCTCTCCACTGAGAAGGGAGCCCGACGTGGGGCTCGATCCTAGAACTCTGGGATCATGACCTGAGCCGAAGGCAACCGCTTAACTGACTGAGCCACCCAGGTGCCCCAGATTTGCAGTTTTTAAACCTCTACCTTTCAGATCTCCAAGGAGAGGATCTAGAGGTTTCATTAGTCACTGATGGCAATGATTTAATCAAACATGCGAAAATAATCAAGCATCCATAAAAATCTAAAAAGATGGGGTTCAGAGAGCTTCTGAACATATGGAATTGCCAAGAGGATGGTACATCCAGAGAGGACAATGAACCTCCTGGGCTTTTCCTGCACATCTTAACTTATGTATCTCCTCTACCTGGTTGTTCCTTAGTTATATACTAGTCAATTTAGTAATTAAAATATTTCCCACTCTAGAAAATTAATTGAACCCAGGGATGGGGTCATGAAAACCTTCTGTTTATAGCCAGTGGTTCAGAAGCCCAAGTGATAAGCTCTATTTGGCAATTGGTATCTGATTTGGGGAACAATCTTGTGGAACTAAGCCCTTAACCAGTGAGATATTAAGCTATCTCCATGTAGATACTATGAATACTGTATTAAATTGTAGGATACCTAGCTGGTTGTCTGGAGAGTTGGACATTGCTTATTATGGGGAATAAACCCTCACAAATTTGGTGAACAAAAGTGTCAGAGGTAAAATAATGAGAATAGAGGAGACACATAGAAGGTGTTTTTTTTTTTTTTCTCTTTACATTCTACACTTCCTAAGTTATTCATTTTGCTCACCTTTGGCCTTTCAAATAATCAGTGAATCAAAGAGACTTTACCCCAACCAATATTGACTTAGCTCTTCTATAGACTGTACAACATTCTGGATGCCAGAAATGCAGAGAGTGAATAGGAAAGATATAGTTAAACTCTAACCCACTTATAGCAAATACTAGCTTTTTAATGCAGTTAGCATAATCTGTGTATTGCTGCATGAACATAAACACAATATAAAAAATATAAAAAATTTCTCAACAAAGAGAAATAGATCTACAGTTTCTAACTTAAGATGTGTCTCTTGGTCTGTTCATTTTTCTCTAGCATTTTGCCTTGGAAAATTTCAGCCCAATCAGTACTCTCTGAGGTGTCATTTCCATTGTAAGTTTCATCCATACTGAAAGGGTCTTCTCTCCTTTTCCTTCCTGGTCTTTGTGGTTGTCTGCTCTGCTGGAGCTGCCATCAGCAATGTCAATGAAGAGTATAACTTTATCCTCTGATTTCATCCTCCTGGGGCTTCTGGTGAACAATAAAGCTACAGGGATTGTCTTTGCTGTTATTTTTGCTATTTTTGTGGTGGCTGTAACTGCAAATTTGGTCATGATATTCTTGATTCAGGTGGACTCCCATCTCCATACTCCTATGTATTTCCTGCTTAGTCAGCTGTCCATCATGGACACCCTTTTCATTTGTACACTGTCCCAAAACTTCTGGTCGACATGTTTTCTAAAAAGAAGACCATTTCCTTTGTAGGTTGTGGCATCCAGATCTTCCTCTACTTGACCATGATTGGCTCAGAGTTCTTCCTCTTGGGCCTCATGGCCTATGACCGTTATGTGGCTGTCTGTAACCCTCTTAGGTATCCAGTCCTGATGAACCGCAGGGTGTGTCTCCTGCTGGCTGCTGGTTCCTGGTTTGGTGGGTTCTTGGATGGCTTTCTGCTCACCCCCATCATCATGAATGTCCCCTACTGTGGCTCCCAAAGTATCAACCATTTTTTCTGTGAGATCCCTGCAGTTCTCAGACTAGCCTGTGCTGACACATCCTTGTATGAAACCCTAATGTACATCTGCTGTGTACTCATGTTGCTCATCCCTATCTCTATCATCTCAACCTCCTATTCTCTCATCTTGTTAACTGTCCACCGAATGCACTCTGCTGAAGGCCGGAAGAAAGCCTTTACCACTTGTTCTTCCCACTTGACTGTAGTCAGCATTTTCTATGGGGCTGCCTTCTACACTTATGTTCTGCCCCAGTCTTTTCACACTCCTGAGCAGGACAAGGTAGTGTCAGCCTTCTATACCATTGTCACACCCATGCTCAATCCTCTTATCTACAGCCTCAGAAACAAGGATGTCATGGGGGCATTTAAAAAGGTATTTTCACAATACTCATCTGCTCAAAAGGTATCCACAAGTGATGCTTAAGGATTCAATAAGCTGACAATAAGTCTTCCTAAGAACATTGTCTATTGTCCTGTTTCAAAGGTGACTATTTAGTCAGCTGTCAAAGATTACTTACAATTGGCAATTAAAAGGATTTGCCATGCCTTGTTTCTTGTTACCAGGGGAGAGAACCAAAGATTTTTCATTAGTTATGCAGATACATTTTGGCTACCTATCAACAATAAGATATTATTACATAGGTTAAAGAATTCATCTGATGCTGGTTCTTGTCTCTCAGACTAAATAAAGGGGGAAAAAAGTGTATCATAGAGTTCACAGGAAATCTTTGCAGATTCTTTTCACACTTAACCCAGGAACACCTCTAAAAGCTAGCAAATTTTGTTGCCAATAATCATGTAATTATTTTTGTACCAATAAAGTAAAATAATACCAATTCACAAGTGACAAAGGATAGAAATCACACAATTTTAATCAGATCTTTATTGGCTTTGTCTCAGAGGATTTTAACCTCTATGATCATTTTCATAGCACTTGTGCTAAAAATAGTGACTGTCAAATACTAGGCCACAGTAAATAGTGAGTGAGTTAAACTGACTGAATATTGAATGTCCAAGCATTGCATACCTACTCAAAAGGGACAGACTCTAATATTTAACATCAAAGAGAACTACTGTGTCTTTTTCCATGTTATTTTAATAGCAGAATTCTAGGAAAGGTGACGTCTATGGGAAGAAAATTTACATTGCCCAAATCTGTGATTCACCAACAGGACTTGGATGCAGTTCAGGGTTGTTTGGAGTGAGATGGAAAGCTTTTGAAGAATTTTCTGTATAGACATAACTTGATAAGATGTACATTTTTATATGCACTATTTTATGCACACTTCCACACTATGTCTATAGTATGATTTATGGAACAGGGAACTAGATTGTATGTAGGAAAACAATTTAGGAATCTTCAAATGAGAAGAAAGAAGGATTGAAGCAGGTAGTTGCACAAGAAGATTTAGCTCATAGGAAGAATGGCTATTAGGAAAAAAAGTGAAATGAAAGATAAGTCAATTGACCTCAAGGGAAAGGAAACTAAGATTTCTGAAATTTTGAAACTTTCATAATGGCAGGATTGAGTAGGAGAAATCAAGAATTTAATTGTTGAGAAACTTTTGAAATTTCTATTAGATATATGAAGCCAAGTGGGGTTCAGATTGGAGTTAAGGGCTGAAGGTTTAAATTTGGTAGTCTTCAGAGTAGAAAGAATACTTAAAAGCATAGGATTAGTTGAAACTTAGGTAGGAGTAAAGATTTAAGACTAAGGAGGCTGTTCAGCTGGAAAGAAAGTGTGATAAGAGACAGTGATTGATGGAGTAAGAAGTAATATCTCAGAAGTGAGGAAACTTCAAAACTGGAGTATAATCAAATGCACTAGATGCTGTTTCTTGTTGGATTACAATGAGAGTTTTGATTGGCCACTGTATTTGTCAATACAAAGTTCAATTATGACCTTAAAAAAAGCAATTCCAATGAAGTTGTGCTCTCCAAGAGGATTCAGAGTAAATAGAAGGGGAGAAAGTGGACAAGATGACTAGAATGTAAGTACAATTTTTAATGACAGCAGATAAATGGAGCAGTGGCTAGAAAAGGATATGATATCAATGTTTTTTGTTGTTGTAGGATATTGCAGATATGTTAAAGGGAATAATTTACACAAAGCATAAATTGATAATGGATACAAAGTGGAGGAAAAATCTTCCAGAAGATGACTTCTGAGAGAGACAGAGAGCAGAGAAACCAATTTAGAAGAAAACCAATTTATTTGAGTTAGCATGGCTAGTTCATTTACTATAGCAGGAAGTAAAGCAGAGCATAGGTGATACAAGTAAGTTCTCCTCTGATTTCTTCTATTTCACAGTGCAAGTAGAATCAAGGAGAGCTTCTACTTGTGAAGGACAGGAATGATTGTTAAAAATTTGAGACAAGAAGAAAAATATTTTGGAGATCAGTTGAATAAATGAATAAATTATAGATATTAGGATTGCAGAGTAGTCTTGGGGTTGATTATAATATAGTTGTTGATTTCAATGAATTGATCTCTTTGTGAAATTAAAGGTTTTTTTAACCAACATTCTTGCCCATGTGGAGCTTATTGTATAACATGATATAATTTGGAATCATAAGGTAACACACTGTCTCCTCAACATACTAATTATTTAAGTTTATGAGTTAAAGACTCCCTCCAGTACACCCAGTCTTTAAACTGGTCTTTGTGATGTCTTCTCTGGTGAGAAGTTGGATTATCTAATGTCCTCAGTGAACAATCTTTCTGTTCCAAATTGATTTTATTAAAATGTTCAGACTTCTACCTTTGCATTTGCCCAATAACTGATTGTTAAACTTTTGAAATGATTTTTTTTTAATTTTTTCCTATTCAAATTTAAATGTTTTAAATTACTTCCAACCCATATGCCAATTTCAGGTGCAAATGAATGATGTTAGGATCACAGGCTTGTAGTTAAACTCACTGGTGTTTGAATCTTGACTTTTTAATTTCTGTGCTGTGTATCCTTTAACGTGTTACCTAACCTCTCTGTACCAAATTTTCCTGTCTTAAAGAAGGATTCCCTGTTAAAAATCAAGAAATAGGGAAAGGGTTCTAACAATAGAGATTATCTGAGTCTGTGACTCTTGCATCTTGAGACAAAGCTAGTTCTGCTTTTATCATATGGTCACTCGGCATTTTTCTGTGTGTTCTCAAGGCACAGGTCTCACCAGCAGTCCCTCTTGATTCATTAAATAATTTATATTTTAAATACCAAATTCAATCATTTGTAATTGTATCTGGGACATTTATACTTCTCCCCTTTATCCCTTACAGGGAGAAGAAATCCATAAATTTGATAAAATCCCTAGAGGATTTTTTTTAGATTCTATCTAGCCTTTCAGTAGGTATTACTAAGGGACCAAATTGGCATCATCCATCTGCCACCTTGTGGATAATTAACACCTGACATTATTTTAAAACTACAATGTGTGTCCTTAGTGTGTTCCTTAAAAAACTATGTATGGTTAGGAAAATAAAACAAAAAAAAAATTTTTAAGTAACTACAAAAATGATATTAAGAGTATTTTTTATTTAAACTCAATTAACCAGCTGGAGGCAGGACAGCAATGGAGTAGAGGACTTCGTTTCATCTGCTACCTCAAATTTAGCTGAATATCTATTAAACCTTTCTGAACACCTACAAAATCAGCCTGAGATGTAAGAAAATATTTCTGGAATTCTACAAGCAGAAAAGCAACTGCTTTTTGCAGGATAAGAGGTGTGGAGTTGTGAATCTGTGGGGAAATAACAGAAGATAAATGGAGGGGGGAAAGAGCTTCCATAAGCTGGCTATCAGAAAGTGATATAACACTGGAGTGCAAAATTGGAACTCTTAGTAATCTCCAGTGAGAGACATCCCTTTCTGAAAGGGGTTCAGGGGATTAAAAGTACAGAATTCAAGGTGGGTCATTGTGGTCTCAGAATCCCAGGAGACACAGAAAGAACAGAGGTGTCTGAACATATACAGTGACCAAGCAGTGTAGCAGGGAAACTGGTTATGGTCAGGGAGCCCAGGAAGGACTCTCAGCTCTGGTTGCATTAAACCAGGAGCCAGGCTGGTAAGGAGACCACTCTTTGCCTGAGCACCTGGAAAAGGACCAAAACGTGTGGCTGGTTACCATCCCCTGGGAGGGATGAAACAGCTGTTCCCATGACTGGGCAACAGCTCTCAGGGTGCCAGCAGCCCCAGAAAGGACAGTAGGGTGTCACCCAGCCATGACCTGGGAGAAGCAGAATAGGGTACAAGCAAGCCCACAGATGCTTGCAGTCACAAAGACACAAAGCTCAGTGATGCTTACAACTACCTGGCACTCCCCGTGGGAGGATTGCAATGGGCATGAACTGTGGAAGTCTGCAGACTTTGGCACACGCAGAGTGAATTTTGTTTGACCTGGAGGGTTTATTGAATAGGGGGGACCTTGCCACTCTGGGCCAGAGGTCCAGGCACAGCCATTTTTGCTCTGACCCTCTGAAGAGGCATGGAAAACTGCCAAGGAAAAAGGTCACACAGAGGACCACCTTACATTAAGCTCATACCCCTGACAAGGGGTGGAACGACTCCACCCAGGAAAAGACACCTGAGAAGAAGCAAATCAGGCCCCTCCCCCAGAAGAGAGACTGGAAGAACAGGTGAATGACAAGCTTATGGATCTCACGAGACTGTAAAACTCCAGGACCACGGGAAAATAGTATATTGAGCTCCAGGTGTTTCCCTACAACTCATTTATCCTTCAGTCTAAAATTTTCCATTTCTTTTTTTTTCTCTTTACCTTATTTTCTTATTTCTTATTTTACCAACTTATGCTTTTAAGTCACTTTTTAACTTTTACTTTTCTCACATCTACATTTTAAAGATATATGGTTCATTCTAGTCCTTTTATCCCTCTATTCAATTTTATTTTTATATAAATATAAGTGTTGTTTCTTTGCAATTTTGGATTGTAGTGTCACACAGGCCAAAATTCAATCAAGGACCAGCAAGTCACCTTGCTTTGCCCACCCTGTGAGATTATAGTTTCTCTCCCCTACCACTTATTATTTTTTTAATTTTTAAATTTTTTATATTATGTTAGTCACCATACAATACATCATTAGTTTTTGATGTGGTGATCCACGATTGATTGTTTTCATATAACACCCAGTGTTCCATGCAGTACATGCCCTCCTTAAACCCATCACCAGGCTAACAAATCCTCCCTCCCTCCTCCCCTATCAAGCCCTGTTTGTTTCAGAGTCCATAGTCTCTCATGGTTCATCTCTCCTTCGGATTTCCCCCCCTTCATTTTTCCCTTCCTTCTCCTAATGTCCTCCATGCTATTCCTTATGTTCCACAAATAAGTGAAACCATAGGATAATTGACTTCTCTGCTTGACTTATTTCACTTAGCATAATATCCTCCAGTCCCATCCATGTGGTTGTAAAAG